TAAAAACGAATAGTTTTTTGTCAAAAAAGATTCGAAATCTATTCTCTTTTGTATAAAACTAATAAAGAAAATAAGCAATCGTAAAAATACTAACATTGGCTCTCACGTGGAGATCTATCTATCTATCATACTGAAGGGAAACAAGTGTGCACATTTTATTTCCACTTTTTTCGCAGAGAGAGTCATTCGTTTTGGCAGTTGCTAATTTCATTTATATAGCAGCTTTAGAGACAAGTAAATGCACTAAAAGACTTCGTTACGTGGTACCAATTAATAAGCATGCATCAACTATGTTACACCTAAACTATCTATGATCACAGATATACCGACAACACAGGAGATCATCACGTGGTAAGGATAATGATATGCATAGGCTATTTTAAGAGTCGGTAGATCTTAATATAACTTGATCATGCACTAATATTCTGAGTGATTCGGTCACGATCTCTTGGTAAGCAGGACAGCCCTTTGGAGACGGAACACTACTACAGTAACCATTCTCTATTGTATAAAACTAATAAAGACAAAAACCAATTATAAAAGAAATTATTAACTTTTGCGTCTTGAGAAAGAATTGAAACGGAACAATTTCGATAAATCAAGTAAAAATAGAAATCCTATTTATATAAACAAACTGGGATTACCGAAGTAACTAAAATAGCTTAGATTTCCGTAATATTACTTCGTCTGATTCCGCAGTATGACGGAATCGCCCGAATTATCACGATTGCAATCAATCGGAAATCCTCGGGCGACTTCAAGAACTTGACGGAGATTGCCGAGTTGTTACGATTGGATTGCAATGGGAACTACCTCGGCTATTATCTTTAATTCGAGGAGTGACGGAAAGGGCCGAAAAGTTGCGATTGGCACGATTGGTTCAATCATGCGCAGGAAACCACCTAACCGGAACAACTGTTCCAAAACAAATGGCTTGCGGCTGCAAGCCAAAAACTATAGGGTGCTTAAATGAGATACAGATGTTTTGTACTCCTTACATAATTGAAAATAAAAATGTATCACTAAGATAGATAAGCTTTTATCTTTGAACAGTTTAATATTTACATTTGATGTTTGCCTTTCAAACGTTTTTTATTAATAATATTTTAATTTTTACAGATTTATATCTTCAAACGTACGATATCAGTTATGTTGATTATGATTGATTGACGGGAGGATTGGCACGCTGACTCCGGTGTCTGCCTCTCAAGTCGGTGATCATGGGTTCGAGTCCTACTTGTTTCACACTCACGTTTTGATACTGGTTAGTGCCATGAAGCAGACTCAAGGGTGGTTGAATCAGCCTGTCTTAATGTTTGGACTTGAGAAATTAATTTTTAAAGGAACTCCACTGAGGTAAAAAAAAGCCTAACAACATAAAATTTGAAATTCTTACAGAGGTAAGCAGGGGGTGTACTTAAAACAGAAAGATATGCAAATGATAATTAGAACTTTTCGAAGAAATTTGTGTTGGAATGATTTTAAATTTTTGGTCATTTTCACAATTAGAATACAATAAGTGATTCATACTATGAGTGATTTATGAGCTAGATATTTTAAGAGAAATTATTTGAAAGTGTCACGAAAAAATGGTGCTGTGTTACAACCTTTAATCTATTATAAATGTAAAAAAATGCAATGTGTTTATAAAATCATTATAATTAGTTACTCGTATTGTTTACACATGTGTTAAATTAGCGATAGTCAGTAATTAGTGATCATAAAATAGCACCCATGCTGGCCAGCATATAGGTTCATTTAATCACCAGGAGTCCGTCTTCAGACTGCATAATTACTGAAAATAACCATATATCATGCGATTTTGCCCACATAACTGATTGGATTTTGCCACTTGCCCAAACATGTGAACATAATTCTTACAAAAATAAATAAATAGATAAATAAATAAATAAATAAATAAATAAATAAATAAATAAATAGATAAATAAATCAATCAATCAATCAATCAATCAATCAATCAATAAAAGCACAACCAATGCCTTTACCACGTGTATTTTTGTGATCTGCATGGGACAGAAATCCAATACAAAAGAAGGCAAAATAATATTTTCTGTCCTAACTTTAATAATTAATATGTCATTAATTATAATGGGATAATTAAGGTGTAGAGCCCGGAGCCCAAAAATAAAATTTGCATAGAGTAACACTAGATATAACTTGTTTATATCTCATATCGATAACAGCCTCAAAACTTTTATAATTACCTGTAAATAATTTATTACATCTTATGAAAATGTTTCTATATTCTCAAAGGTACATAACTCTGTAAATTCTTGAACCTGAAAACGTACGAATTATTTCCCTTAACACGTCTACTCGTCTCGATTTGTCGAGTTTTTAGGTGTTTTTTTAAACAGTGAAATCATTTCTGTTAGAATTACTGATCAGTTTATTCAAAGTTGACAAACTTCTGTGTATGATTCCAGTAAATGTCTAAATTATAGATTTTTTAAAAACTGAATGCGGTTTTGAAAATACATGTACTTACAGTAAACCTTTTACCATCGGATTTAGCTAAACCGTTTGTCAAATTTAGATGTATGGACCATAAAATGACAATTGAAACAGGTATGTTAGAAGCCTTAAGAGTTTGTGGTTATGTTCTGATAATCAGTTTCTATTCCTTTTTTTCACGATCTGAAAAATACATATTTAGACAATCCGTTTATTTCTATAAACCGAACATTCTTAAATTTTCAAAGTTAAAGCAAATATGTTTTACTTAATCTAGCAATCCTCTGTAAAAAAATGTTTTGTTCTTAAATCCCCATTACACTGTCCCGGTTTGTCGTCCCGGTTTGCCACGGTTTTAGTCCACCGGGATCAACCGTGCCTAACCGGCGTAGGACCGTATCGATTCCGTCAAGTACCGACAAAGCGGGGGATCGCCACGGTTGTATTAAAATGTTTAATACAGCCGTGGCTCACCGGCACTCACCGAGAAGGAAGCCCAGAACCGTGCTCTATCGGCTTAGCACCGGGAATCGCCTGGGAATCACCGTATTTATTCCGCATCCATACCGTGACAAACCGTAGTAAACCGGGACGCGTTTTAATCAATGTCCACACGGCAAAGCCCCGGTCATGACTCGATGTCGCCACGGTAAAAAAAGGCAAACCGGCAGAGCCAGGGTGGTAGAGCCAGGGTACATTGTGGATATTGGCGACAACGCTCCGGTTGGACCCGGTTATGTCCAGAATATTGCCGGTTATACAAAGTTAATAGACGGTGGCGTCACGAGCTCATGCCGATAACAGGCATTAAAGAACAGGTATGTAAAATTGTGCTACTTTGGATCATTTTGTTAAGTGAAGGAACATAAGCATGGCAACCTTTCCTAACTGTCTGGCTGTGCTATCTGTGGGAGTCGTTTCTAAAGGTACCTCAACCTCTGTAGGCGTTGTAGGCACAGGTTTTCAACTTCCCCTTTCCTTGGGTGGCATCTCTGCTGTCGTTTTACAAAATGACTGATGTCAACTTGGTCAAGCAGTTTTATTCTCATAAACTTGAACCGGGAAGCATCGGCGCATTACCGGAACAGTAGCGGCATCACCCGTAGCGTTTCCGGGGCGAAATCGGTAATGGTCGGATGGGCCGTGATGAAACCGTGTCTTGTCGCGTCCAACCGGCATCGGCACTTACCGTATATATCCGGTGCTATATCGGGAAAGACGGGAATACACCTGGGCTCTGTCGGGGATGTGTAAACGCAATTTTCAGGAAAAAAACACCACGAATAACCCGGTTCAGCGGCTTAAGACACCGTAGCAATACCGTGGCCATTAGACAGTGAGAAAGGGTCTCATTTTCCAATTGTATTAGCCGATGCTAGGGGGACTTTGACGATAGCTTGCGTAGCCTTCCGCAAACAGGTCCCCTTAAAACTGACCTTGGAGGAACAGTTTTGGCGACAATGAAGATCAAATTTTCAATATTTTACAGTCTTTAATTAATTAAAGGTGTTTAATTGCCAAGTCTAAGTTTTTTTTATCTGTAACACCACGTACAGAGCTTTATTTAAAATTGTAATATAATTATCTGGTATCATGATTTTCATATATTAACATGTATCTTATCGAGTTGCTGCCAAGATCGTTTTCAAGTTGACTAAGATAAGATGTGATCATCTTTACATTCAGTTACAATAAACATAATAACAATAGATCTAGCTATAAAAGCTATTTTCCGAAATATATAACAGACTATCCAAATGTATCTATAAAAGAAAATTAAACAATTGTTCATCTATGATAAAAGCTGTAACAATATCAAGGGATACACAAATACAATCGTACAATTATCTCCAGTATTTTTTATTTTAAATATTATCATTAGCACGGATTTATATTAATATAAATCATATAAATCCGTGTCATTAGTAAGGTATTATTACAGATGTCATTTACGTAATAGTTATAGTACATGAAACCAGTTAGCCTAATTAATTTGGCGTGAACGGTTTGACCTATTTTACAGACTTTTTTTTTTTACTGTCATACCGTTGGAAAAAGACAGCGCCCGTCCAAAATTATCTCGGTGTCTCTTTGACAAGTCTAATTAGTTGGACTATCAGCGGATGTACCTTTTTGATTAAATGAGAGTAAATTTCATTTCATTAATTATCTTTGTTTATATTTTTCATTGTATTTATTTTATTTTATTGATTCCATTTTTTTTGCTACTGGGAATGTTCGTTACCATTGCCCCATTAGAGCCTCTGTGAAAAAACTACATTGATATACAAGGTGCGAAAAAAACTCAACCGTTATAAATCAGTTCGAGGTTTTTCCTATACATGTATGAAGCAATGGAAAAAAAAACTGTACTGTTATATATCCATACAGTTTTCAAATGCTAATTGAAGTGTACTGAGTATAATAACCAGGCGAAAACTGTAAGAATTTGGTTTCCGATCGTGATTACTTTTCAAACATTGTACTAGTGCGGTTTGTTATGTAAATGACAGTTTTCACGACGTGCTTATTTTACGGTAAACCGTTTCAGAAAAAAAGACAACAACAAAACGCAGAAACAAAGGTCTTTGTTATTTACTTTGTCAATTTTAATTCAAGAACGGATATTTTTCTTTTCCTCAAGAAAGATATTTGCAAATATTTATGTATGGTTTTAAATTAAAAGGTAAGTATATCGTAAAAATATGTCGGAATAAAATTTTGATTTTCCTTCTTGAAAATTGATCTCGCCTTCTTGGTTATGTCAGCTGAGCTGATAAAATAATTTATTGATTTGATGAAGGAGTTGCTTTGATATCATCTGTAGAAAATATTCATCGAGGGTAAGATAAGAATTTTAATAATTAGCAGAAATAGAAATGTTTAAATTACTTATTGAAAGAAAAATGCTAAATTAATTAGATATTACAATGGAATAATTCTGCTGCACAAAGGGTGCATAGAAAAACCGGAAAGCACCGGATAGCTGCGAAAAACCGGAAAGCACTCAATTTTCTCATAAAAACATATGAAAACGTTAATTAATCGGTTTGAAAGTGTTACCAATCGATTTATTAGATCAAAATCTTCCGGACAAGTCATTTTTATATTTATATATTGATAATTATTACGAGTATTTAGGAAAATAGAATAACGATTGCTTTCCGGTCCTGTTAAGATACATGTACATTACCGGATAGCAATATTGTTTATCAAAGTTATACATGAAAACTTTATTTTATTGGTTTGAAAGTATTACCAATCGATTTATTAGATCAAAATCTTACAGACAAGTCATTTTTATAAAAATATATTGATAATTATTACTAGTATTTAGGAAAATAGATATATCGTGTGCTTTCCGGTCCTGATAAGATACATGTACATTACCGGATAGCAATATTGTTTATCAAAGTTATACATGAAAACTTTATTTTATTGGTTTGAAAGTGTTACCAATCGATTTATTAGATCAAAATTTTTCAGACAACATGTTTTTATAATTATAATATGATTATTATTACGTTTGATTAGGAAAATAAGATATATCGAGTGCTTTCCGGTCCTGCTAAGGTACATGTACTTTAGCCGAATAGCAATATAGTTTATCAAAGTAATACATGAAAACTTTATTTTATTTTGATTTGAAAGTGTTACCAAATCGATTTTATTATATCAAAATCTTCCAGACAACATGTTTTTATAAATATATATGATTATTATAACGATTATTTAGGAAAATAGATATATCGAGTGCTTTCCGGTCCTTGAAGTTACATATGCTTTACCGAATGCAATTTAATTTCTCAAACAATCACATAAGATCTTTGTTTAATTGTATTGTAAATGTTACCAATCGATTTTATTAGGTATGATACAGTATTATTTCATGTTTTAATTCTAAATTCTATGATTATTTAAAAGATTTATGAATGTTAAATAAATTGAGAATGCTTTCCGGTTTTGTTAGTATATATGTACATTACCGAATAGCAGACCGAATTTTCCATAAAAAAAACGTACAACCTTCAATTGTATTGAATTTGAAAACGTTACCAATAGATTTATTAGGAAAAAATCTCTTACGAAAAAAAGTTTAAAATAGATATTAAAATAGATATATCGAGTGTTTTCCCCGGTCCTGCACATTCATTATTGCTTTCCCCGGTCCTGTGAAGAAAAATAATAGTTATACCATTGCCGAAAAGCACTGGTCCTCTTACCTCAGACATACCGATGGTGTATTATAGATATTTAAAATGTATGTACCTTGTCTAATATATTAATATATTTATTTTGTTGTAGGCTATATGAAAGACAAGAGGATTCAAAATAGCAGGAAGAGAAGAACAAATAATTTTTTCAGTGATGTTTTTTTATTTTTGAACAATAAACAGTGCAATAAATAAAAATAAACGAAACTAATTACTAAGAATAAAATAAACAGATATAAAACAGAACTTAGCAAACATATATACATACATTATTGAAAAATAAGTATGATATTGAAATCAATCAAGGCACACTTCACGCCTCGTTTATTACACGGGCACACGCTGATAAAATTGAACGGACACACGCTGATTTAATTATCACATTTAAAGAGGTGTTAATAATACACAATAGCTGGATGTATTTAACTGATTATTTTAGGTATTATATATGATATTGAAATGTCATTTAAACTTAAAATTTAATTATATTTACAAACAGTGATGTGTTCAAAACAAAATCAACAAATAACTATCTCATTATTACATACATATAAAACTACAAAATATATATACATATATATTTATGCATTGATATTTATCCCGTCTTTGGTTTCTTCACTGTCACAGTCCGAGTGTTAATGTTTCTTTTTCGTTGACCAGGTTTTTTACCGTTGGTTCTTGGTGCAATTATCGTCGATTGTCCGTCCGTAGATGTCATGTAATCGGGCTTTTGATACGGGTGGCGTCGAAAACGGACAAAATGCTTGCGTCTCTGTTCGTCCGTCATTTCTACATACACAGATTTGGTGAGTTGAAATTGTGAATGAGTTTGTGCGAGTCTGGACTCACCAGCACCGATAATGGCACTACGCAAGTCCAGAAATTGACCTTGGACCAAAAACTTTCAAAAACAATTTCTTGAGATTTCCTAACATAAAATTTCCTGGGGACTATGCGCGAGATCTCGTGCATCTAGAGGGTAAAACACCGGGTAATAACGGCATGCACAAATATCAGTGCAAACTACGCAGTTTTGTGTAGCTTAAAAACATATTAACGTAATGTTGATAAAAACGGCCCTTTTAAGGGCCCAACATATATTACGAAAGAAATCCAGATTTATATTGTCAATTTGTTTATCAATAAAGCTTTTTACATATTAAAATATTTATTGTTAAAAGTGCCATTTAATTTTCAGGTTCTGCGCATAAATTACGTAAGTTAGTAATAGAATGGGTTCAAGTATAGAATACATCAACAGATATAATATGTCTTCTTCTTCTTCTTCGGATTACATTTAGAAAATAATGTTGATTATAACTTTCTATATTCATATATGATAAGTCTTAACAATTTTATTCAAATAAGAGTAAATTTTTATAGCACTTTGATATAAAGTTCTAAGAGATTTCGTATATATCCGTTACAAACATTTCTTTTCATGAGTGCCGTAATAATCTTCATTAAACAAAATTAATTTTTATATCAAAAGAGTGTGTAGTTAATTGCATTTTCTAATTATCTAATTTAATGTGCATGTAAATTCGTAAAGGACAGTTGTCTAATTAATGCAACTTTGATGTGCAGGTCGGCACTCTTCAATTATCATAATTTGTGTACAAATTGATTAAATCATCACCTTTTTGTGCTACAATATACAAGGTCTTTAATCAGCATGGATTAGCACGTGTGATAAACAATACAACAACTACTGTCCTCCACTGATGACCACATTGCTTTTCGGTACACATAGTATGGTAAAAATAAAGACTTAACTGAACGAAAATTTATAAGTTTTTCTTTATTTTACATAATATAAAATATAATAATAAAAATATGGTTCAATGCTTTGAATAACTTATTTGGTAATTTTTACACATCCTCTTTCTGTCCTTCACACAACCTATAAAATATTACAAATATGATACATTGATATATGGTATGAGCAAGATTGAAAAATCGTGTAACTAATCATAATATTTATAAATGAAATAAGTTCAACTTAATTGATCAATTTATTAACACTTTCACATGATTAATATGAAGGATAAGTGTGATTTATATAAATATTCGAGTGCTATTCGGTAAAGAAGATGTACTTTAGCATTACCGGGAAAGCAATCAATACAACTTTGTAACAACTTTGAAAATCGCGTAATGAAACATAAAATATCTATAAAAACGTCATGATATACAGATCTTCAACTACTAAATAGATGGTAACACTTTCAAACCAATAAAATAAAGTTTTCATGTATTAATTGGATAAACAATATTGCTATTCGGTAATGTACATGTATCTTAGCAGGACCGGAAAGCACTCGATATATCAGTTTTCCTAAATACTCGTAAATAATTATCATTATATATTATATAAAACATGTTGTCTGAAAGATTTGGATCTAATAAATCGATTGGTAACACTTTCAAACCAATAAAATAAAGTTTCCGTGTATTACTTTGATAAACTATATTGCTATTCGAAAAAAAAAAAAAAAAAAAAGTACATGTATCTTAGCAGGACCGGAAAGCACTCGATATAACTTATTTTTCCTAAATAATCGTAAAAATAATCATAATATAATTACAAAAACGTGTTGTCTGAAAGATTTTGATATAATAAATCGATTGGTAACATTTTCAAACCAATAAAATAAAGTTTTCATGTATAACTTTTATAAACAATATTGCTATCCGGTAATGTACATGTATCTTAACAGGACCGGAAAGCACTCGATATATCTATTTTCCTAAATACTCGTAATAATTATCAATATATATTTATAAAAATGACTTGTCTGAAAGATTTTGATCTAATAAATCGATTGGTAACACATTCAAACCGATTAATTAACGTTTTCATATGTTTTTATGAGAAATTTGAGTGCTTTCCGGTATTTCGGTGCTATCCGGTGCTTTCCGGTTTTTCTATGCACCGCTGCACAAATCAATTTTTTTACTAATACTATCCCGGGACAACCAATATTCAATCAGTTAAGCCATTTTTAGCCAATAATAAATGGAAGGAGAAATTATACGTTAAATTTATTTTAGCTATTAATGGATCTATCAACACTTTTTCATTTTAAGGTTGGTACATTTTCAACAAGTCTTGATCTTTCTTAGAAATTCAATAAAAACGATATGACCCACTCGGATCACTCTCAGAAATATTTTAACCTAAATTCAAACAGCAGGGTAATCACTATGGAAAATTTGTTCAAGATAAATCAGGGCCACTTAAAATTGTAGAAAATTTCACAACAGTCTATTCAACAATTTTCAACAGTATTTTCAAGATTTTAAAAAACTTACACTAAATGTTATAACATATGTAAAGTACATTAATGCATTAGTATGACTACTGTTAATGTGTTTAAAAAGGTAGTTAAAGGTGTCACTTCTTAGTACGCTATTTGGGGTGCAAAATGATAAATGCATCCAATCTTTACAGCATTTTACCTTCCCCACT